CCACTCTTTCTTTTTTTTTTTTTAAATGCAAATATTATCTTTTAATTTGTGTGTTTATTAGGCCCATTTTCTTCCTCCACCCGTGATGTGAGCTCTATGATGGCAAGGATTTGTTTGTTTAGATACTTAGCATCTATATTGTTGCTTGGGCCACAGTATATACTCACTAAATAATTGTTCAATGAATTAATGCATGTGATCTAGAGTCTTTCCCCCACTCATCTACTTAGTAGCCATATTTACCTTGCCAGGTTCTGTGGATGTAAACATAACTGTACAAAACTATTGCTCACTCAGCAGTCCAAGATAATGGTGGTATTTGCCCTCTGAATTTAAAATTTCTCTAATGTAAAATATCTCACAAAATGTTTACCAATAAATGCTTTCACAGATTCCTAATATAGCATTTAACTATATTTGATTTTTAATTCTATTTCTGATTTATTTAATCCCCAAATGTTATAACAATTATGTATTCCTTCAATTTTTATCAAAAAATGTTATCTTTTTGCCAGCTATATTTCTATATTTCCTTTTCTGGCCCCTCTCTTGGCAGTGATAACTACTGTTCTAAATTAAGTGTTTTATATCTAAACATAATTCTTTACATTTACCATATACACAGCCATAAAATATCTCTATATTGTTATTAAAATACTTACATATTGTTTTAATTTTTTCAGAGTTCTGTCATCTTACACATGGCTTTCTATGAATTACTCTTTTCATTCAGTATTATGTTTTGAACTTCTCCTTACTAATATATTTTAATTATTTCAAGATATTCCCTTTGATGAATAGTAGCAGTTTTTTCATTTGTTCTTCCATAATTAGACAAGTATATTTTTTTTTTCTAATTTTTCACTTATAAGATGGACTAAAGGATTCCCCTTACACATGATCCACTGTACACATGTATTGGGTTTCCCACTTTGGTGATATCAAGGAATGGAGTTGCTGAGTGTTGTGACTTTATATATATATATATATATTGAAGGTAGAAACAATTCCTTTATTTTATTTTTATGTGGTGCTCAGGATCGAACCCAGTGCCTCACGTGTACTAGGCAAGCGCTCTACCACTGAGCCACAACCCAGCCCCATGATTTATATATTTTTAATTCAATAGGAATTGCCAATTATACCTCCTATATAGCTGCACATTCCCATCAGCAATCAGACACTTTCAGTTTTGCCAATCAGATCAGTATGAAGTGGGATTTGCTTATTTTAATTTGTACTGAAAATCAGTGAGCATGAGTGAGTCTTCATAACAGTATTGGCCTATCCAGCTTTCTTCTTCTATAAATTACCTCTGTGCAATTTCCGCTTTTCTATTGGATTCTTAATATTGATTCACAGGAATTGTTTATATATCATAAATCCTAGCTCTGTTACTTGAATTGCAAATAACTTTTTTCCAGACTGTGATTTGTTTTTAAACTTGGCTCATAGAGTCTTTTGTCTTGAACTTTGTTTTGATTTTAATATCAAATAATCTTTTCTGTAGGTTTTTGCTTTATATATCTTGTTTAAGAAATTTTTTCTTTACTGATTTAATAAATATTCTATATTCAAAAACTTAATATGTTAAGTCTTGGTTCAAAATGGAGGAAAAGTTGAATTTTATATTCTATACCATATGCTAAATGTATTTTCTGATGTATAATTTTCTATCATCTTTTCATGTGAAAAGTGGCATCTATATTTACAATGCAATTTTCATTTAATATGTTTTAAAAGCTTTTTGTCACTAGCAGTAATTCCGTAGTTAAATTTGGGGAAAAAATCAGCATTTAAAAAATTAGATACAAACAGGAAGGAATTAATGGAGAAAATTTGAAAGTGCAGTGGATACACAGTAGACTATAAAACTTGTTTCCTCTGGGAAATGCATGTGTATTTTGAATTTGCTTTTGTTGAGTGTCTACTGCCAGGATTTGCTGATCAGTCTAATAATACTCAAATTAAAAATACATGAAACCAAAGTTGTCGGGTGTGCATTTATGTTTATAAGCTGGAAAAAAGAATGCTTTGTACTGATAAGACAAATCTATTAAAAATTAATTTTCGATTTCCTAAATTGAAACTAAATTTGAGGGGGAAAAGAGCAAAACAAAACAATCCTTTACAATTATTTTTCAGTTCATTCATGCAAACTAATATTGTTTGGTCAAGTGGTGTCTGACAATACCTTTATTTCTTCCATTCAGTAATTGCCGGACCAGGAAAGACCTTCATACAGGTCACATTATTGCTTAATTAATTTAGCATTAAAGCATGACAGGGTGTGTTTTAGCGTCTATTAATGCACGCCTTGGGTGCCTTCAACTGCTAAAGGCATATATTAATAGTCAGTAAAGCATGCCCTGGAGTCGCCTACTGTCATTATAATATGGTTATTTAATTTGGAATTTTATCTATAAACCTAATTTTTCAATGACATTTTACTCTGTATTCTTCCACCACATAAAGTAGTTCTTACAGTTTGAATTTTTATATTAATTTGTCATACAAAGGTCAAAAGTCAGTAGGACCATTTAGCTTCCATATTGTGAAGGTCTTCAATATTTTTAAACTTTCTGCATAAATGTAACAGAATGATAAAGAAGACTTTGTCTACTATATAGATGCTTTAGAAAAATCCAAGAGTAAAGGAGTCATTTCCATTTAGTAAAATTGAGTTTTAACATTTAACATTTGCTGTCTCCATTTTACCCTGGCTTCAATAATACAATGTGAATATAAAATTGGTAAATTGATTCTCTTTTTCCTTTCTAAAATGCTACTTGTGTGATTGGATAATGGGAATGTGGTATAACCTAAATAATGGAATGAAAGCTCATGAGAAAATATTGGAAAACTTAAAATACCCCAAGCCCTCAAACTCTACTTATTCCCCTGCTTGTCAGTAGCAGCAGAAGCCCTACCTATCCCAACTCTCTTTCCATTTTACTTAAGGTGTACTTTTTTATTGGAAGCCCTTGAATTGGCCTTTATCTGAGGTCGTTGCCTTTGAAGAGGATGACTGAACTTCTCAGTCCCACCTCCACCAGTCCTCACTGCCTTCAGATCTATATCAGAAGCAGATCACACAGAAGGCTCTAGAGGACCAATTGCAAACTCGGGAGGAGACAGGTTGCATATGGAGACACTTGTGAGATTTGTGTTTATCAGCAAAAATTTGGAAAATGTGTGGGAAGTAGTGCTTAGTAGATATATTATTTCTATCAGTTTGAAGTTTGTGAAAAGTAGACATAAATAGATTATAACATTAATGTCCTGGGTTGATTGTTGGAAATGGTTTGCCTAATAGATTAGAAGTTTGTGTTTCTCCCATAAGACCACCTAACTCACTAGGTTGACATATACAGAAGACACAACAGTCTGTGACAGTGACAGTGCTTATTATAGTCTTTATTAGATGATACCTTTATTGTGGCTGTTATTAAGTGTGAGCAGATCAACATGGACTATGGTAACTGATATGTTGCAATTGAGCTGGCAAATGCTTCTTTTTTTTCCCCCTTTCTATGTCAAAAAGCAAAGTGCCCTAGAAACCATTTGCTTTTACCCAATAGACTTCCATTTACCTTATCAACTTGGTATGAAGGCTGAAACAGCTTTACTGATATGTTTACAGGACCCAGAAAGTAGTGCATATTCTAGAAGCCCTGAAAGACAATATGACTGCCAAGAGAGAGAAAAGAGATTACATTAACACAGCGTTCTGGGATCTTAGTGATCTTTGTGGATACTACAGATCTAAATTATGTCAACATAAGCACTCTAAAATGAAAGTTAAGTTGCTATAATTTATATCCCTGTCTTAATATACACAAGAAAAAAAAGAATGCTTGGTAGACCCCTTTGAGGTTTGGGAGGAACTTATACTTAACAGATGAACAGAGTCTGAGAATGGCTTCCACCTAGTCCTGGCTAGAAGGCAAGCATGGAGACCACCACAGTTTAAGAACAGGTGTCTCAGTGATGCTAGGTATGTTGATAGTAGATTGGAAAGTTATCTGAACTGGTAGATAGACACAATCAGAGAATTACAGCGAAGACCTTTAATTTTGGAACACAGCTATGCCCTTTGACTACTAACTCTGTTTTTGAGAAACAATTCCTGGTTTTGCCTTGGACACACATGTTGACTGCATGCCTAGTTGTAGGACAGCAGTAGACCAAGTCACTTGCAGTGTTCATTTTTTACTTATCAGGACCTTGTTAGAAGCCTAGAAATATTTATCATTTATTAGAGCTTGAAAGCACAGATGATTAGTGTGAGCTGTATTTGAGGATAGCTCTTTTACATTGCCATTTCTACTTTAATCAATACCAATGGCTTCATTAAGAAGTTTCCATAGCCTAGAAGGAATGTAATTTGAACTGGTTAGAGTTTAGATATGAGGTGTACCTCTAAAAGTTCACATGTGAGACAATGCAAGAATATTAATAGGTGAAAAGATTAGATTATTAGAGCTGTAACCTAATTAATCAGTGGATTAATCCATTTGGTAGACTGTCAATTTGAATGGACTAATTGATGGTAATTGTAGACAGGTAGGGTGTAACTAGAGGATGTAGGTCACTGAGGGTGAGTTCTTGGGGATCATATTTTCCTTTGTTCCTTGCACTCAAACTCTCTCTGTTTCCTGGCTATCATGTATGGAGCAGTCTTCCTCTGTGATACACTCCTTCCACAATGCTTTACCTCATCTTGGGCTCAGAGCAATGGAGTTGTCTAACCACAGACAGAACCTCTGAAATAGCCAAATTAAACTTTTATTTCTCTAAGTTGTCCTTGCCAGGCCTTTTGGTTACAGTAATAAAAAGCTGACTTATACAATCCCAAACAACAGAAAATATTGTGCCATCTGCTGACATCTGCCAGAAACAGATCATTGTGACCTTTGTAGCTATGACGTTTGAAGAACATTGGAAAGGATAATGCTTGCCCTGTTCTTAATTCCAAATGGTAATGTTTCATTGTCCACTTTGTTTGGTAAAAGAAATGTCCAAAGATACAGATATTTAGTGATAATGGAAGTAGCTCCTAAATGTGTAATTGTGGAAGAAATAAGATTTCTGGCAGGGTGGGAGTAGGAGGCTTGTTTCATGACAGATATTGAGTTATAATTATCTGAGTGAACTTCTCAGAATTTAAAAACATGTTTTCCATCTGTGAATATTCTTGATAGGCTCCACTGTAAAGGACTTATTTAGTTCTCAGGTAGGATCTACTGTATAGATGTTAGTCAGCTTTCTTTTCTGTAAAGGAAATCACCTCAGGGCTTTTTAAAAAGGAGTTATGAACAGCATCGCCATAGTAGAAGGAATACAATTTTTTTATGAACATATATTTGCTCTGCCACGGTGAACCTGATTACTGTTATGCATAAAGATCAGTATACTAGCATTAGCAACTGATTCTGAGAACCAATATTGTCCCATGCCGTAGGTAAGTCAGTCATCATTAAGATGATAATTTGGATATATTTGATTTTCCTTCTTTTGGAATAGATAGGTATCTGTACTTATATTCCCTTTTCTTGTCTATCATGCTTCTGCCAATGATCCCCTCCTCATTGTGGGCTTATTAAATATCTTATTAATCATTAGACATAAAGTGCTTGACCTTATGGAAAGGTAAGTTGTCTATTGAAATCTTAGTTTCTGCAATTACTGGAATACACTGTGAGATTGCCATCTGTCCTATAGAATTTGCTATAGAATAAAACAGTGGCTAATAATTTTGTGACCTTTTCTCATGGGTACAAAATATGGTTTTGAGCCACAAGATAAATAAGGACCTATTTCCCAAATGTTTCCACCACATCTCATCTTCTCTGACTCTGATGATTTGAAGGTATTGGGACCTAATATCTAAATGTTTCCATCAGAGAACATAAACATCATTGAAATAGCAGCTGAGACTACTCTGGCCATTACAGGTACCACATGCCACAGAATAAATCAGCAATAATGAGGGCTCTTATGCTTGTCAGGGATATTTTCCTCAATCATCAGGAGAACTAGGATTGTTCCCATGAAATAGTAGCAGAGAGAGGTATCCTCTTGGTGCCGAGACTGCCTCCTCAAGAGAAGACTATAGAATATTCACACAGGCGAATCCTTTATGAATGAAGTTTTGAGTAACCTCACCAGGCAAAGAACCCCAAATCAGGTGAGGTGCTATTAAAGGAAGCAAAGTATAGAAGATATGGTGGAAGAAGAAAGTGCCAGCTCTGACCTTATAACAATTACAAAACAAAGAATGAAGTATCTATCACTGTGTATTGCTGTAATTCTTCTCCCACCTCCCATTCTCTTATTTTCTTTTATTTAGGATATACTGGAGATGTTAATATCAAAATTTAGCTTTTAAGTCAGAGTAAATCAATATTCTATCATGAGCGAAAGAGAGGAAGAATGCTGCATATCTTAACTGATGAAAATTTTGATTGTGCCTCTGGGAGAGAGGATGAAAACCACCGTTGTGTAAGGCAATATGACAATGTTATTGTTGAGATGACAATGTTATGGTTGCTATTAACAAATTCCTGTGAACTACATGGCTTGCAAACAAAATTCTATTTTTTGATAGTTCTAAAAGCTAGAAAGTTAAGATGAGGGTATTGTGATGGTCTAGTGCTGGTAGAGCCCATTCCTCACTATGAACCTTCTCACTATGTCTGTACATGGTGGAAGGAATGCAGGATGTCTCTGGAGTTTTCTTGCATAAGGGCACTAATCCCATTTATAAGATGTCTGCTCTCATGACTTGATCACCTCCTAATGTCATTAATTTCAGAGTTGTGATTTCACTGCAGAAATCTCTGGAGGTCACTAATATTGAGATGATGGCATTAAGAATGTCAAAGGGGATATATTAACAGTGATAAAGCCAAATAATACACTATCCCTGATATTTGTCATGCTTTCTGGTTGCCTAAGATATTTACTTATCATTTCTAAGTTTGGTGAAGTTCTTTCCCTCTTAGTACCATCTCCATGAAGCCTGAGAACCACTTTTTCCAGCATCTTTGGACATTGTGATCAATCTTTTAGGCAATAAGATATTTATGTTTCTTATTATTAACTATTTATTCATTGTTATTTACTGCTGAGAACTAAATTATTTTTAACATTTCACATTTAATATGCTATTTTAGAAATATCTAGCCTGTTTTAATAGTGCTAAAGAGAATTTTAAAGGTGTTACAATTTCTTTAAACCTCAAGGGAAAAGCAGACTTCCTGGAGGTGACCAAGGTGAATGGCACCAAGGAAAAGTAAAACTTTTCAGATATCCTGATATCCTGATGGTGACTGGGTACTTACTGGCCACTTAGGTTTTTTAAACTGTATATTCATGAGGAATTTTGGACAATAAAGAAGGGGATTGTTCTGCTGAACTTTCCCTTAAAAAACAAGATAATCTTTTATGTCACATTTTTTTCACAATAAAATTCTTATTTCATATGTTTTAAAAAACATGATTAATAGACTCAGACATTTACAAACAGATCTAAGTCCTAGAGCTAGAATTAAGTTGAGAATTTTTTTTTTCTCTCAGATATTTTTCTTGCAAGAGTCTCCAAAGCTGTTCTTGTTACATTTGGAACAGACCAAGAAGTGTGAATAAGTAAGTGCTCGCTTTTGAGTTATGCCAAGAACTAGTCTAGCATTTTAGATTCCCATGCAAAACAATTTCACAGGCTCTTGAATGTGACATGAACATGAATGCAACAAATCCTTTTATTATTACTCTTTCTTCACTCACTTGATACGGTTATTCAAATTGTTAAGGGAAAAATGCAAAACGTTTCAGAATACTTAAAGCATTCTGCACTTAAGGTTGATCCACTTTGTTCATTTGGAAAGCTTTATTTTGAAATAACTAATACTCAATATTTATCATTGTCTTGGCTTTACTTAGAACACAAGCAATTTTTTTTCTAGAAACCAAAGTAATTTTCACAATATTCATTTAAAAATCTAAAACATAACCTGGTGGTGGTAGGGTACAAGAAAAGTCACTTCTTGACTGTTTCTAGGTTCAAAATTAAAGAGGAGTTGAATTCTTTTTTAACAAAACAGAAAAGGTTTCTCAGAGTTAGTCATAAAGTAAACAATAGACTATCAGAGTTAAGATTAGAATGATCCTATTGTTGAATGAGAAAGCAGTATAAATATACTGGATACTTGGTGGTTTAGAAAGAAATGTGAACGAGAGGACACCAAAGTAAATTTTAAGCTATTCTATGATTTTTACCAAGCAAGAGGAGGTTTCAAAAGGATAACCTACGTTTCTATTCTTTTTAAATTAAGCCTGGTCTTCCTTAAAGTTCTCTCTCCTTCTCTTATCCCTATACCCTTCTCCTTACCCCACCCCTTCTCTCCTCTCCTTCTCTCTATTCGTGCTCTTTCCATCTCCTCTGGCAAACCTAAGTCTGAGCTGTATTTGAGTCCAGTCCCAGAAATTTCTTGGTAAGGACGTATTTGGCTAAGGATGAAGATTCCCACTCAGCCCTTGGATCTGAGAGATCCTCCTGGACCACAGCTAATACTACCGCTGCCCAGGCCATGTGCTGTGCTTGCCTTTTGTGAGCTGCACTTTTTAGCTCACAGAGGAGGAGAACAAGTGCATTTAAATGGGCACACTGACAGGAGTAAACACCGAGCTTGCAGTAATTTATGGATTGATCTAGCAGAGTAAGTGCCAAGTAGCCTGGCCTTACTTTTACCTCCTTTTGTTATGAATACCACCCTTTGGTTAACACAAATTTTATTTTTGCTTAATCACAGCCCATTACAAGCCACGTGGGAATCTCACCAATGCTACATGCCAGTAATGTTGGTTTAAATACCTCTAAAGTTATCCTGGATAACCAGACTTCTATTATGTCATCATATATATGTCCACGGAAGACTGCTTAGAGAACTAAGCAGGGAAAAGGTAGAGGTTCTCAAGAGAATCTTGCTGTAAATATAACTCTCTACATTATAGCAGACTAACTATGGAGGCTAATATGAGAAGTAACATACATGCATATTTCTTAATGAGTTATTTTCACGTTTCCTTCTTGGCACGTTTTCGGTACCTCCTCCTGTGTCTGTTGAAGCATCAATTCCCTCTATGCTTGAATTGTCCCTGTGTTTATTAGTCAGATCTGGTCGGCTGGGATCTGTGGTGTTGACTTTCATCATAACCATACGCACCACGTATTTCTCCAATGGGAACTCATGCCATGCTTCCCATTTGCCTTCAATCACTAACAGATGCAGAACAGTCAGATCATTTCCCTTTAACTGGCCTAAGGGATTAAAGGAATGCAGAGGGATTTTAAACCAAGCAGTTCTTCTGTGTTGCCTGACTTCACTTCTTGTACTTGAAGGGTAAGTGTCCTGGGTAACATAATCTGACTCTCTTCTAAAGTTTTGCTTCTTTGCTTTGTTTTTCTTCTAAGCTTCGAACTTTGTAAACTCATGTACCTAGACATCCCTGACACTTGTGCATTGGGGTTGGAGGAGGTACCACATTGAAAAGCCATCTTGAGCTTTTCCATTAGTTCTTCTCACAATTTTAAAAAGACTCTGTAACATTGTGTAGCTGGCAGGTCTTTAGAGTCAAGAAGCCAAGGGCCAGGTCTGGGCTTTGCAATGAGCCCCAAATGACTTAAGGCCAAGAGCACCCCACCAGTCTCTGGTTCCTCATCAGTAGACAATGGTTTACAGACATCATTACTTTGACCTCACTGTCTATGGTTACCCCTGTCCTAGCTCCCACTTGAAGTTATCTTAATTGCAAATCTATACATATGTGCATAAATAATCTCTCTCACATAAGCGTATTCATTAGGTCACAGAATGGTTCTGAGAATCTAGAAAGTAAGAGGAGAAAACAGCACTTTGAATAATATGATGAAGCAGAGACTAATGAAATCAGAGAGAGTTCGGGCATACTGAAAATGGAAATTTGGGAGAATAGGAAAAAGGAGAAAAGCCAAAAAATAGCCTAGGAAATGCTAAAGTAAATTGTAAAAAGAAATAAAATCCCCAACCTCATTTTTCTCTACATTTTCTTCTGACAACTAAATCCTAGTGTAGAGATTTTTATTGATTTATCTCTGATTTGGACCCTGAGATCTAAGTTCTCGCCAACAAAGAAAATTCCCTGCTGAGGGCAGAGACCACATTTCTTTGCTGCCAGGAATAACTGGTTAAACACAGAATGTGTTGGGGCCTGTACAACTTAGATCATTCACTGAATTATTTTCCAAAAGCCACTCTAGAATGAGGTAAGTGTTGAATTAGGGTTATGCTTCCAGTCCCATAATTATCACAAAATAGGCTTTTGTGATTTAGGGTAAGCCAACACCAAACTTTGTCATTTTGCCAAATAAATTGGCCCTTTACTTTTAAAGCTCTCTGTATTTGTGAAAGAACTATTAAAGATATATTTCCTGTCCATTTGTTTTTAACTTCATAATATTTGTTGGTTGATATTATTTGAGGTCCTATGAATATCTAGAGTGTATAAAGAAAATGAGATAAACAGACACTTCTCAAAAGAAAAAGTACAAATGGCCAACAAATAAATGAAAAAGTGTTTAACATCTATGGCAAGTAGGAAAATGCAAATCAAAACTGTCCTGAGACTTCATCTCACTCCAATTTGAATGGCAGTAACCATGAATACAAACAACAATAAATGCTGGAAAGGATGTGAGAAAAGGGGACAATTTTACTTTTTGTTGGGATTGTAAATTAGTACAACCACTTTGGAAATCAATATCTGTCTTTTTCAAAAGGCTAGGGATGGAACCATGATATGACCATTGTTATTTATCCTAAAGAATGAAAGTCATTCTTAGAGTAGTTTTGATTTGCATTTCTCTAATTGCTGGAGATAATGAACATTTTTTCATATATTTGTTGGTTAATTGTATATCCTCTTCTGAGAAGTGTCTGTTCAGGTCCTTGGCCATTTGTTGATTGGATTATTTGGAGGGTTTTGGGTGCTTAGTTTTTTTGAGTTCTTTATGTATCCTAGAGATCAGTGCTCTATTGATGTGTGAGGGGTAAAAATTTGCTCCCAGGATGTAGGCTCTCTATTCACCTTACAGATTGTTTCTTTTGCTGAGAGGAACTTTTTAGTTTGATTCCATCCCATTTATTGATTCTTGGTTTTAATTTTTGTGCTCTAGTAGTCTTATTAAGGAAGTTGGGGCCTAATCCCACATGATGAAGATTAGGTCTACTTTTTCTTTTTTTAGATGCAGAGTCTCTGGTTTAATTCCTAGGTCCTTGATTCATTTGAGTTAAGTTTTGTGCATGGTGAAAGATAGGGGTTTAATTTCACTTTGTTGCTTATAGATTTCCAGTATTCCCAGCACCATTTGTTGAAGATGCTATCTTTTCTTCAGTGCATGTTTTTGGCACCTTTGTCTAATATAATTGTAATTTTGTGGGTTAGTCTCTGTGTCCTCTATTCTGTACCATTGGTCTACCAGTCTGTTTTGGTGCCAATACCATGCTGTTTTTGTTACTATTGCTCATCTCACTCCAGTCAGAATGGCAGCTATTATGAAGACAAACAACAATAAGTGTTGTCAAGGATGTGGGGAAAAAGGTACACTCATACATTGCTGGTGGGACTGCAAATTGGTGCAGCCAATATGGAAAGCAGTATGGAGATTCCTTTGAAAGCTGGGAATGGAACCATCATTTGACCCAGCTATCCCTCTCCTCAGATTACACCCAAAAGTCTTAAGAATAATAGCATACTACAGGGACACAGCCACATCAATGTTTATAGCAGCACAATTCACAATAGCTAAACTGTGGAACCAAACTAGATGCCCTTAAGTGGATGAATGGATAAAAAAAAATGTAGCATATATACACAATGGAATGTTACTCAGAATTAAAAGAGAATAAAATCGTGGCATTTGCAGGTAAATGGATGGTATTGAGAAGATAATGCTAAGTGAAGTTAGCCAATCCCCAAAAACCAAATGAGGAATGTTTTTTCTGATATAAGGAGGCTGACTCATAGTGGGATAGGGAGGGGGAGCATGGGAGGAATAGATGAATTCTAGATAGGGAAGAGGGGTGAGAGGGAAAGGAAAGGGGCAGGGGATTAGAAAAGATGGTGGAATGTGATAGACATCATTATCCAAAGTTCATGTATGAAGACATGAATTGGGTGTCAAAATACTTTACATTCAAACAGAGATATGAAAAATTGTGGTATATATGTGTAATAAGAATTGTAATTCATTCCACTGTCATTTTTTAAATCAATAAAAAATAAACAAAAAATAAACCCAATAATAAACAAGATTTAAAAAATTAAAGCCATTCTACTATAGAGATACACGAATACCCATATTTATAGCAGTGTAATTCACAATTAGCAGAATTATGAAAACAGCCTAGCTGTCCACCAATGGATGAATTGATAAAGAAAATGTGGTCCATGTACCAAATGGAGTTTTATCTGCCATCATGAACAAAATTATGTTATTTGTAGGAAAATGATGGAACTTGGCAGCATTGTTTTAAGTGAAATAAGTCAAAACTTAGAAGGTCAAGGGTCACATATTTTTTCTCAAATGTGGAAGCTAGAGAGGAAAAAGAAAAAAATGGCAGGAGGAGATTTCATAAAAATAGCAGAGAGAACAGCAGAGTAGAGGAAACAGACCAGGAAAAGAAAGGAAGAAAGGGAAAGAGGAAATTCTATGGAATAATATCTACCAAATTATACAGTTTTAATGTGTGCATGTACAAATATATAACAATGATAATCCTGTTATTATGTATAACTGTAATGCACCAATCACAATAAGGAAAGTATATTATTTGATTTCTTAGACCTATTTCAAATGGTTTAATAAGTCATATTTCAAAAATATAGGAAATTGTGAATTGCAAATTTGGACAATAATCAGTATGGGTTGTGAGTTCACTTTCATAGAATTAAAGAATATTCCAAATGCCCTAAGTTCTACATTGTGTATATTCAGGATTGTTAGGCTAATCCAGAAAACTCTTCCTAAAGTCTAGACATTTATTGATGTAATGAAATACTTTCTCCAGTGTGTTTCTTAATTTACACTTTTAAAAAAATGTCAATTTTTAAAAAAAACCCCATGCTATTTTCATCAGTAGACATGAAGTTTGCTGAATGAAATTATCTTATTTCTGATTACTTGAAGAAGTACCATCATATCTAACATCTAATGACCACAGGTGTCACCCTCACTTAAACATGACTTTCCTTATTCTTTAGTAAATGCCGAATCACACATAAAATATGTACATATTGCACATTGTAATATGGAGAGTGTCCTGTGTTAAAACTAGAATTCTGGGTATCTCCATTAGTTTGTGAATCCATTCTACTTAGTACATATAAACTCCCAGATGAGATTGTCATATACTTTCTGTATCTCTGGCAAGTATGACTGTCTTTTTCTCCCCAGAAGGCATTGAATAAATAGATAAAAACCAATCTAATAAAATAAGTTAATTCTCCTTCTTATTTTCTTGCCCTGCCCTCTCTCAAGACTGCTAAAAATTTTTTCCTATGCCAGAATTATTTGGGATTAAAATTGTTTTGAATGACATACCATACCACAATCTGTTAGATTGTTAATCTGTATAAATGCTTTACTAGAATCATGTACCTATTACTATAAATTCATATTTGTGCGGCATTCATAATAGTTGCTGGCACACGCTATGTTCTCTAATATGTTAGCTGCTCTTGTTAATTTTTTTTACTATTAATATAATTCTTTCTAACCCCCAATCCTACTCATTCCAAACGGAAAAGCTAGATGGACACCAGTTGGTCTACTCACAAAGGAGGAAAGAGACAGTAGGGAGTAATTTTGGTTCGTGGGGCATTTTTAATAATACTAACATTTTTTGAGCACTTACTACATGTTTTTATAAATTTTATCATAGCTTTCTCACAAGAACATTAGGTAGTAGGCATTATTATTTTTGAAATCAGGGAAATGATTTCATTTGTCCAGTTGTCCAGGGTTATAATCTAGAACCCAGGCTCTCACTGCTCTTGGAGACTGCCTTTTCATGTTGCCCCTTGCAGCAGGGCTCTGGGGGCTGAACTCTAGCTGGCCTAGCATGGTGCCTGGGACATAGTAGGCCATCAATGGATTTGAGTTGAACTTACTTGGTTCTTATATTGATTGCATATTATTTTTGTGGGACACAATGAGTTGTAAGAACAGCTAAGGTTTATAGAATGATGTGCATATGAGACTTTTCCTTTAAACACATTTCCTCATGTATTTTCTATAGAAAACTTAAAAAAAAAAGGCATCATTATGCCAATGGTAAAAAGTGAGGGAATTTGAGATTCAAGAATGGTAATGAATTATGTGTATGCTCTTATCATAAAGAAAGCCAAAATGGAGCCTGGAACTGTCTGATGGCAGGGCTCTTCCTGCTGGATTATGTCATGCTGCAAAATAGATTGGCTTCTGTCACTAAGGATTTTGGGATGTCAGAGGCCTAATCACACTAGTATCTTCAACAAAGAAAACAGTGCTGTATACCTGTAGACCTTAGTCATCTTTGTCCACTCATTCACTTCCACACACAGTCTGTTTCCTCACGTGTTCACATCTGTTTTCATCTGTAGCATTCTCTATATCTTACATATCCCTTGGTCTCCTGCCTGGCATTCCCTTCCCATTCTTATATATCTAGACCTTTCTGTGCTCCGACTTTAAACTCATAACTACTATACAAATGGCTCCCAGGCTACCCCCATCCGAAACAATGCTCCCCTCCTCTGAAATTTGAGAACCCTCGTTCTCTTACACCACTCACTTGGCACTTATTGCTGACTTCGGCTGGCGATTTTCCAAGTTTTGTAAGCTTTTTTTTCCCTCTTCACTCGTTATAAGCTCCTTCAGGGCCGGAACTATTTTATATAAAAGTGTGTTTAACATAGTCACCAAATTAGTACTTTTTACATAGTGAGTTTTCAGTTTACTACAAAGACAGCTTTATTACCTGCCACATTTCTGTACGGTGGAAAATCATTTGGTCCATGAGGCTGTGCAGTTCACTCAGGTGCAAAATGAAATTTCCATTTCGCAGAACACTTTCAGTCAGGCTGTGTGCGTATGGGGTGTGTGTGTGTACATTCCAAACTATGCATTCAGTGTAAAAGAAAACAAACTAAAATTGGAGAATTTTTACAAGGAGCATGTAATGAATATCACATTGTCAGATCAAATTAGTACTTAGTGATTTGGGGTTGGGGCAGGTGATAATAGCCCCAGTGATGTGAAAGTTGGGTCTAGATGCCAGCATTTACTTTGCCAGAAACTGCAGTGGATAATTCATTACTAAATGTAATGAGACTGTGGTAAAGTGATTTAATCTAAAGGACAAATTTCTGATTGGGAAAGGGCATAAATGTGGCTCATAGCACACTGTACATTGCTGTGGAGATTCTTTTCAATGGAACCTCAAACTGCTGCACAAATAATGCTAAACCATGAGAGAGATACAAATGAGTCATCTTGATTATTTCCCAGCCTCTATACCCTTATTCTTGATGCATTATTTTCTAGGGTTGGTGGCATTTACTTTGATTCCTCTGCTCCATTTCTCCAGGGACCCAGCTCAGAACCAAAAGAGAGAGCCTGCCTTGGAAACGTCAAAAGTGTGCATTTCTGTTCATCACCCTCCCATGGAATCAATTGCTGACATCTCTTTTAGATCATTTCTTTTATTCTGCATCATTTTACTCTTTTTCATTTCAAGTCTGATCATGAAATGCTCCTGTTAGAAGGCAATGATCTTGCTAATTGACATCTTTAGTGGAAATTGAGGATTTTTTTTGGGTTTGTTTAAATTTTTAATGTATCCAAGTCTCATGTACGAGTGGACTAAACTTTTTTAACATACTGCAAAGCAGCAGTACTTCCGTATACAGGTAATTATTTTCACATAAATCATCTATGTTTAAATATTATCAAAAAGCAAATGCTGACTTGAAAAGATCAAACATCAACTTCAGATTTTAGAACACTCCATTTTTAAAAGTGCTTTGTAATATATCATCACATACATAAATTTTAATGATTTATATGCTTCTTCAGTTTAAATGAGAAAGGGTTTCCCACCTGTTATCTTCTTACTTGACTAACCCCTACCAATACCAAAGAAGTGGAAGGTGTGACTGTTCTATAATTTATGGTTTATACGGAGACTTTTCCCTAAAGGTGGTGAATTCAACCTGCCAGTGCTGCAGTTTGCCTGAATACTGTTATTGCATGTTGCTTTGGTTCTGGGATACTGCTATGTTAACAGGATGATATGTAAGTAGATTTGGGCTTGCCAAATATTTATTTCCCAGAGAACTTCTTAGAGTGAAGTTAGCCTTATGGATCTTTGTGCTTCAAAGACCTCACAACCAATAAGTATACTTATATTCTAATTCCTCAATAGTAAAATGCCTGTGTGTTATGGCTTTAAAAAGTACCAAAAATCCTTGAATCTTTCTAATCTGCTTTCCTTCTTCATAAATTCAGTACCATGGGTGGGGGTGGGGTAGGGTAAAGAGAAAGGCTGGAGAGAGGCCAAATGATCTTCTGCAGGAAGCCTTGAAGGATTAATAGAGAAGTAGAATGCACTCCACTTAGCTTTCTCCTGTTTTATTTTCCACCCCTCCCCCCTCAAAACTACAGTCATAATGAACCATCACAATGCTATTATGTTAAACAGTCAGAACAAAGCTAGTACTCCCAGCTTGGCTGTGAAACCCTAGGGAAATGTACATTTCCTAAACATGAGAACCTTTCCTATGTTTTTTTCAGCAATGAAAGAATAAATGATGACACACAGGTGATCTCTCTCTCTCTCTCTCTCTCTCTCTCTCACACACACACACACACACACACACACACCTCACCCTCATATGAAGTCTTTATCAGACTGGTAAATCATTCCTCAGTAATTGTGGTCATCAGTCTTGATCAGGAAAGAAAAACTATTTTAAGAAGGCATTTCTGTGGTGGCTGAATCAAGGAAAGACTGGCACTAGCAAGAGTTAACTGTTGCATCCACTGAGCTAAAGCTTAGCCCCCTTCAATGGGGCTCCTCGCTCTGCCAGTGTCTGCTGAGATATACCAGCTTTGGAGAAAAATCAAGATTACACAAAGCTAAAGGGAGATATGAATCCTAACGTGACAAGATCTCTTTGGAGATGTTAATAGTCAACACAAATTCAGAAATATCACAGAAGAGAAACCAGGTTCTTTGCCAGTGGGTATCTCTATCTCTTACACGGTGACAGTCTTAATGCTGAATGTAGATACAGAGTTTAAACCTTTTCTCCCCTTTTGTTAAGTTGGAGGCTTTTCTTTTTTTTCAAAGAACTGGCAAAAGACAGCCTTATGATTTTAGTAATGTAAGGGAAAACTCCTCTGTGGCTGCTTTGTGCAGAATTGTGCTCCTTGAATTTGTGTGCGTTACTGTGCATGAAAGGGGGCATATTTTACCTAGAAAACATTGGAAAGAAAGAGAGTGCCAGGGGAATAGATTTTGGAGGCGAGACAAAAATGACTTTGTCCTATTTTTGAATAAACATCTGAGGCATATACGCCTACTATTGGAATTTTTTTTTTTTTAAGAAAAGAAAACCTCAACCGAATTACATCAAAAAATATCACCTTTATAGCCCAGCTTAAAAAAAAAAATCTCCAGTGTGGAGTGAATCAAGCTTCTGGGAAGCTTTGTCTTGCAGCTCCAAGAGCACATGCTCCATGCACAGGGGCGAGGTTTGCGCTCCTAACTCACACCCCACACGCATCTCGCATCACGGCTGCCCCAGGCATCGTCTCATCTTTTCACTCTGTTCTCCTTCACTCAGAAATAAAAGGAAGAAACAAGGAAACCTGTCCCCATCAGACTGGTGTGAGGAGGGGGAGGGAGTGGAGGAAGGATGTTCTGCTGCTGTCAGTCAGTGCCAGAAAATGCCATTTATGTGGATCCAGTGCTCACTGAGGAAGCGGAAAGAAAGGCCTGTGATGTGGCGCCGCCCCTCCCCTGCTGCACTCTCGCTCATTACAGCTCTTTCTTTAAACTGCTGGGTAGACAGCTGGCAGCCAGGGCCTCAGAGGAGGCAGGAGTATGGGGGCATATAAATTACTGTTGCATTTTACAGCTAAGATAAACTCAAACTGCAGGGTTATAGCCTGAAATGACATGAAGGGAAGGCTCCAGCAGGCCTCTCAGAAGAACAAGGAATAGAAAATGGATAGAAAGAGTTATTCAGGGAATATGGGATCACGGAGAAAGAAAAAAAAAAAAAAACCTAAACAAGTTGTGTAAAATCTGCTGCTTTAGTGGGTCTTAAAGAGCTTATGTCAGCTTAATTCTGTGTGGTAACATAATGTAAATCTATGGGAAATGGGGCTTTAGGCATATCTACTCTATTCCATTTCTGCAGATTGCCAAGTATGGCAATAAACGTCAAGTGATTATTTATTTGATCATTAGAAACTTCATTAGATTTTGATTTGATGCTCTATGCCCCCCCCCCCTTCCCCCCCCCCCCAAAACGGAGGTTCGTTTTTAAATTTCATTCCGGTTGGTTTGATTGGGGCAAAAAAAAAATGTTATGAAATAAAATCTAGCAAATACCAGCATCTAGATGACAACATTCTGCATAAATATAGACCCTCCTCTCCAACAAGTTTACAGGGATTCGCTAACAAGATGAAAGATACATTTTGGCAACAGCAGGACAAGTTTTGGAAGCCTTTTTAGTATTTTGTCAGATGGAAGGCTGTTTCTGAGGTGAGATCAAACCCCTCTGGCTACAGACAGAGTCTGATTGTGTGTTCTTGGCTTAACAGCCTTAGCCTACAGTGTATTTGAACTTTCACTTAGCTTTCTTGGACTTGATTTATTTGCAGATCATATTACCTGGGAAAAAGAGTTCATGGGCCCTAAGTTGGCTGAGGTAATTTGGGACTCAGCTGGTCGGTGCCTGTGTGTGTGTTTCACCCTTGCACAGAACCTGAGCCTCGTTATTGTCATAAAAAAGGGTCTTTTCGCTGTAGTCAGCAGTGTCAGGTACACTGTTTACAGCTGACTTTTTCATTGCCATTTTGGTTTCTCCTGCGCCTTTCACACTACAATCTTCAAGAATCATGTAGTGCAGGAAACAAAGAGAAGATGAGAGAAAGTGCTGCAACTGGCTTTCTTCCTCGGGGAGGGTACTTGCATGTCAAAAGACCCGCCAAACAGGAATTGGGCTGACTTTCATAAAACCAGGGATTTAAGCACAGTGTGGGGTATGTATTATTGCCACAGAGCACATGCTACAAAGAAGCATAAAGAGACAGGCTTTATCTCACTGCCTGAAACCCTCTTGGAACCTTCTGGGAGTGCACATTCTAAATCAAGAATCAAAACGTTTTCCCAGCACAACTGCAAATTGAAAATAGGCACTTGAACAACACAGGCAGAGAGATGTGGAAGAAGAATGACTTTGAAATGTCTACAACCCACCCGGAGCCACCCTGGGTCTTTCTGTAGACATGAAGCGTATTCATCTACAGTAAAGGGTATGTAGCACTCGCTGGAAACAAATGACAGCTGACACAAAGATCCATTAGATGCCTGAACTCACCCCTTGCCAGCACAGAGTATTTTTCTTTTTTCCTTTTTTTTTTTTTTTTTTGGATAAAGAAAGGGCAGACATTTTTATTTCATGAAGCACCCTTATGGACAGATTTTTGTTTCTGCTTTCATCCAGCACTTTCTGGTATATTGCAATTGAAATGGAGGCCTAAAAGACAAATTTCTTTCATGCATCTAAGGGGTACGAAACATGGAGGAAAATGGATTTGGGGATATATTAATGTGCTGTGTGGTTAACAACAATTTGCAGCTCAGGAAGTTATACTCCTTGTGTGGGAAAAGTCACTGTCATAACATAAAATAACAACTTCATAGCTAAATATGAATCAATGACAAGTTCCATTCCTGATGAAGAACTCTGCACTATATGTAGTTGATGTGATGAAAAAGCAACAGTCCTCCTTGGTCTGAGGACCACTGTAAACAACAATCACCCAGGCAGGAAAGGGGAAACCACCAATGAAGTTGTTACTGAAAAATCAGGAACAGGAGCTGAGGAACTAGAAGCCTAAGGCACCCCTGGGCAGAGAATGGTGGGCTAGTGAGCAATTTCTCCTTTCCACACAGGCATTGGGAAGGGGTGAGACCATTAGTAGAGAAAACGAGAGAGGGAATAAAATTTACAAAGGCACAGAGAAAGGGGCATGTTTCTGACCAGGAACTGGGAGGGCTTAGTTGATCACCAACTGTCAGAGAAGTAAATAATGCAGGTGATTTCACCTGTGAGAAAGGGAAGGCGGGGTTTTGGCAGACGATCTTAATGAGGTTGAGTTTGTATGTAAGAGCAGCATGTCTGCAGAGGTTTTCCTCATGGTTTCAATAGGAGGCATCTTCTGAAAGCTCCTGTGTGAGACAATGCAAGAACATGTAGAAGTGAAATGATTGCATTTTGAGAGCTTCAACCTAATCAGTGACTTAATCCACTGATATGAGTTAACTGGGTGGTAACTGTAGGTAGGTAAGGTGTGGCTAGAGGAGGTGGGTCACTGGGAGTGAGCCTTTGTCACTGGGAGTGAGCCTTTGGGATATATATATATATATATTTGGTGAGCAGAGATCTCTCTCTGCTTCCTGAGCTGCTTTCCTCCTCCACACCCTTCCGCCATGATGTATTGAGTCATTTTAGGTGCAGAGCAATAGAGTTGGCAGTCTATGGACTGAGACCTCTGAAACTCTGAATGACAAACTTTTCCTCTTCTAATTGTTCTTGTCAGGCCTTTTGGTCACAGCAACTAAAAAGCTGACTAAAATAATCCTCTTGCTCTAAGGGTGTGGGGCGGAGATTGTGAGTCATTAAAATGCCTTTTTAGGACAGAGATTAGCTGCTGCATATGTGCATTTTGTTTTAGGCCATTAGTTGATGAACAGGTCATGACCCCTGCTTTCAGTCTTGTGGGAGTGAGAGATTTGGACTTAACTAACACAAGGAGATAAGTGAAAGAGGAACAGGGAAAATAGCAGAGGGAGGGTGAGGGCCACAAGGAACAGATTCACAGTTCATCCGTGGGCCCTGCAGCTCTTTCTAGATCAGACAACATCATGGGATAGAGAGACATGGACAGCAACATGATGGCAGAGGTTAGGGATAATCAGTGTAAATAGACCCATAGATATCTACATCTTTAGACAGATGAAAAAGCTGTATGGTTAACCAAAAGGAATGGAACAACAACCAGGATCTTACCAAATGGTGCATGCCAGGGATATAATGTTTATGCCTGTGTGTCTTTGTGTGTGTGCTTTTCATCTCTAGGAAGAGTTGCTACCTGATTGTAGGTAATATTAAAAGGAGAAAACCATCATAAGACAAATGTTTCTTGTCCTGTGAAAGATCACAAGGGCATTTATTCATGTAAATATAGAGCAGGTAGTTTTATCCTAACAGGATACTGTGCTCTGAGTGACATTTTAAAAATAGCATTTAAAGGTGTTTATATCCATAATTGATTATAAATGTAGAAACTGGGCAATGGGTCACGGAAGGTCAGTATATCATTGCCTTAACTGAAACATATGTTTAAAAGTTCATTCATATATGACATATGTGTATCTTATATGTACAGGATACCAGAAAATAAATGGAACCTGTAATGAACCTTGGAGTGGGCCTGATCTAGCATGCTCCCTGGCTAAAGCAATGCGCTGAAATGGCAGAGCAGTAACATGAAGCCATGATGCTCAAGCACAGCACAGAAAGATTTCCTTGTCTCAAAAACCAGCATCTGCGAAGGACTTCTTATCATATGCTCCCCTGAGTCACAGTGTCATGTCAGGTGGAGAGAGTACCTGTGGATCCAGACTTCCTGGGTTGCTTTTCTCAGCTGGAATGGCATGGCCCCTCCCCTGGATAGACTTTTCCTCTGCCTAGCTCCTGGTCACCTATGACCTGAGCCATACTTGAAAAGTTTATATGGCAACTCAGTTGTTCCCTGCCCCATTCCTTGGTATGTTTCATGCCAAAGCTAGCACATTCTTATCATCAAATAGGATTTCATGGTCTACAAGAATGTGACTGGAAGAGAATTAAAGAGGCTTGGCTGTGCGTGGTGGTGCATGCCTTTAATCCCAGTTTCTCAGGAGGCTGAGACAGGAGGATTGAGAGTTTATAGCCAGCTTCAGCAAAAGCAAGGCACAAAGCAACTCAATGAAACCCTGTCTCTAAATAAAATGTAAAATAGGGCTGGGGATGTGGCTCAGTGGTTGAGTGCCCCTGAGTTCAATCCTTGGTATGCCTCTCCCTGCCACCCAAAAGAGCCTTATTGTGAAGGTTCCATACAGCTGGCTGCACCCAAGGGCCCAAGCCAGACCAGGTGATGCGACTGCACTTTAGCACTTTGCATCCAGTCTTCATGGATAACTCCATTGGTCCATAGAAACTCTCTATCTTCAAAGTATTTAGAATGGCATTCTGAGTAAAGGGGGCTAATGTGGTTGGGAGGATTTCCTGCAAAGGAAGACAAAGAAAACTGCATTCATAAAAGGAAAGAGAAAAAATGCCTACCTTAGTTTCACGACTACAGTAAAACTCTGCCTTTCCAGGAGGTCTTTATCATGAAAGCTAAAAATTTATTTTCTTTGCCTTAACTTTCGTTTTACTGGAACAACTATCTGTCGTGAATTGTAGTTTTCAGTAAGAATTCTTAGCCACCTGCCTAGTTGTAAGTTCCTGATTGCAGAGGTGTTGGTTAAACAACTTTATAAATGTTATGATCCATGAAAAATGTGTACTCAGGTCTTATGATGAATGATGCACTGTACTAAGTACATTTACATTAATGAACTCACAGACTCCTAAGAAATATATTTGATGTTATTATCCCCATTACCTATGAAAGGATTGATATGTGTAGAGTCTATTAAACCATCTGAAGTCACAGAATTTGAATGTGTGTATTCTACTTTTGGAGCATGCACACTTAGGGATTATGCTTTCTCCCCTGCTCAAAACATGTGTATGCAACATGTGGCTTCAATAGGGATTTCCGAGTGACTAAATGGAGGAGGACTGGTCATAGGATGGGATTTGAACAAGACTCTGGGTGGGGCTGTGGCAGCATTGATGTTCAGTACCTTTTTCTGTGATGAAATATGGGTGAGAGTTCCCAATGATATGAAGGTGACTTAATTTAACCACCCTCCTGTGGATTCAGTGGATTTAAGGGGAATGGGAATGGTTACTTGTAAAGAAGAACTAGGCAGTCAGTGGACAACAGGATTTCAAAACAGCTGATAGTGAATATGGACAAGGACTTGGGAAAAGATGTTTTGAGAATGTTAGTTGGGGAGACTTTGGCAAACTAAGTGTCAGAGAAATACAAGATGAGAATGTGGGCAGAAAGTTTTTTTAAAAAAAATCTTATTTATCAAGTAAACCAATGGTATCGCAGTGGGGAATTTACTTGGCTGCAAGAAACAATAAATGAACAAAAGATAGAAATTCCCATCACCATCAACTTCCATCTCCCTTTCTATCTCTTTAAATTACTCCTTACTCCAATATAACCTGCTTTCACTGAATTAACAAGTGGCAGCCAGAGGCTTAAATGGATGAAAAGGCCTGGTACAGACTCCATTTGGGTAATTTGTCTTAAAGAATAGAAGTCTGCCTCAGGGATATGTGGCAAAGTCAGAAGCACACCAGCACAGGGATAAGTGAAGTCTCTGGATCCATTCCATGAGGAAGCACAGTGTCTCATGATAGTGTCTAAAAATGAGGAAGAGTCACGTTAGAATTCTCAGAAACTTACCTGAATGAGCATTATGTAGCCTACACTATCTTAATTACCTCATGTCAACCAGGTGTATTTAATAAATCCACTTCAGTTTCTCACAGGTCTAATATGAATTCCAGAGTGTCCACTGGATAATCACTGGGGCATTAACACAATTCTCAGTCTTTATCCTCAGACTTTCAGACTATTCCAACATGGCCCAACACATCTCTGAAGGCAGAAGTGGGAGACAGGAACAAGGGTCAGCTGACCAAATACTTCTGGGATTTGTGCTAACAAGCTCAAAGACCACTTCAAAGGTTTATTGGGCATCTTGTCTTCAGTTTGCAGTTGATTCATTCTCCCTGAAACACTTTCCACTCTTGAATACATGCCTCTTGAAACTGTCATTTCTTGGCTCTTTCAATGGACTCATTCTTCTCATGCTGTTTAATAGCATAATCTCTAACTGCTATTGAAACTGGAAGAATAAATAGCACTTTCTGATATTTGTAATTTAGGAGGTAGGTTGTATGTGTGTACACACACACTCCAACAATTAGCCATTAGACACTCAAATAATGAAAGGGATATGTGCACACCAAACTCACAGGGAGAACTTATGGAGACAGAGTCAGAGGCTAAGAGTCATCCTGCAACCTTTTATGTATGTCCCACCGGGTGTGCTATTCTAAATCAAATTACCCAGATGTGCAGAAATGTTTTGCTGGGAGAGAAGAAAGACTCACTAGGAGAAGACCAATCCTTTGGGAAGTGGGTACTATATTTTAAAAGATGGCTGTCTCCAGGCATGATGGCACATGCCTGTCATTCCAAGTACTCAGGAAGTGAGGAGGAAGATCATAAACAAGTTTAAGGCCAGAGTGGGCAGTTTAGTGGAACCCTGTCTCAAAATAAAAAAAAAAAAAAATTAAAAGGGCCATTGATGTAGTTCAGTGGTAAATTGCCTCAGTTCAATATCAAACACCCCCACTCCCCCACCCCAAAAAGACTGAATTATGTAGCATATTTAGAGGAGACTCTTTTGGAAAGGACATTGAACAAGGTTAGAAACTACAGTGTCATCTTAGGAATGCACTTGGTGATTGCTTTTTCTCCTGAATTATGGTGGATTCATATTTTTTTCTTCATATGTTGTGATCTTGTTTTTTTTTAACATCTCAGTATAGCCCAATATATTTCTATGACTTATGTTATTGATTTGTAAGTAGAGAAGACATATGAGGGAGCCCCACAGAGTTGAAGGATTCAGCCTTGACTGTGATTCAATCCCATGTCTGTTCTCTATTCAGATATACTCAATGGAGGGGAAACTTAATGGGTAGAGCAAAATTGATCCATTTCCCATCAGCTGTGGCTTGCTTTCACATTCTACTCTCATCTCTGCCAACATGTGCTTCTGAAGGGTCTGTTTTAAGGTCTTGGTTGAAGGATCACCACTGTCTTGCTGGCTCCCAAATCTTTGTTGTGGGTCTCACCTCAGCATGCTCTTGATCATCTCCACTTAGACAGACTCAGTCAAACAGTCAGGCCAGTTTCCTTACCTTCTGTCTACCACTCCACTACCTTCGTTCCCAAAAGGAATGATGCCAACAGAGTAACACAAGATACCTGCAAACTCTTTTATTTGTTTTTTTGGTCTCTTACACATACCACCAAATAGAGTTTTACCTTTAGCATACTTTCCAATCTCATCTCCTCCATGGCATCCTGTTCTCACTGGCCTCAATATCTCATGCTTTGTCAATTCTTGCCACTTTGTTGCCTCCTTCCAAGGTACTTTCCATAAACATTGCATTTCTAACTCACATTGAACTTAAGTGCAATAAAAGTAACCTAAATCCAGTCACTAAGCCCAGCCACCCAGAAGAGGCAATGTGGAAGAAGGGGTGGTGCGGGAGCACATGTCATAGTGACTGAGCCCAGGTAGGGATCTCTCTGAGATCTAAGGGACAGCTCCATTGTAGGGCTGAGCCCCGGGGACCACAGGACAGTAAGCAAATAGCAGTGGAGCATCGTGCTACAGGCCCTCCTCTTGCAGTGCTCACACCCCACTCACTGCTAGGCAAGGGAACAGGGACACTCCCACTACAATGACAGTGATAACAGGCTGCCTGTGTTCATCTTGACTCATTACAGAGTGACCTTTTCTGCCACTGATGTCTGTGTAGCTGTTTATGCTTGAAGGAACACTGGAGTCCAGCCATGAGTGCTAAGCCAGCTCCCAGCAACACCAAACCAAGGGTGATGGTACCAGGCCAACTCTTGGCTATCAGGGCTGCTTTTCTTTTTATTGGAACTGAGACTTATATGGGTCAAACAACTCAAAGTCACAGAGCAAATGCAGCTCTGAAGATAGAACACATTCTGAGGTAGACCATGTCTAGGGTGTATGATTTCAACCACTGGGTCACCTTGTCTGTCTTCCTTGATGTTGCAAGACCCCAAAAACATGAAAAAAGAGATGTCTTCCTTAATGTTGCAGGACTAAAAAACCATAAAGGAAAGGAAAAGACATTTCGTAACACCTACCTACTCTTGCTGGCCACAGAAATAGGCCCTTTAGCGCCTTAAAATCACCCATGCCTTATTACTCTCCTAGGGCTGCCACAGCAAAGTATCAAAACTGGATGTCTCAAAACAACAGGAGTTTACTCACAGTTGGAAGTTCTAAATCAGGTGTGGGAAAGGCCAGTTTGTGGGAAAGGCTCTTAGGAGGATCCTTCTACCTCTCTCAGCTATTGGTAACGCCAGGCGCTCCTCGACTGGGGATGAAGGCAGGGCAGAGTCTCAGTGAATGAAGGGCCCACCCCACCCCACTCTGACTTAGTTATGTTTACAAAGACCATGTTTCCAGATTTAGATATTCAGCATATCTTTAAAAAAAATACATAGCAGTTTAAAAAGTCTACATAATGTGCTTTTCTTAAGAAGTTTCACCAGCATTTTTAGTTTCCTCTCCCTTTCCTCCCTTATCTCAGTAATAAATGCTATGTTCCAACACTTTGATAAACCAGCTCATCTTTTAATGTGTCATATTCTTTATTTTTTATGCTCCATGATTTTCTACACATTGTTCCTTCCAATCAAACTACTTCTGCATCCTTCCCTCTTTTGTCGAAATGTCAAGCTTTTAAGCTTTTAACCTACAAAATCAAAACCGTATGTTATGTCCTTGGGAAGCAGCCTCTCATTCTCAGGCAGACTCCTGAGAGATGCCCTTCTTTCCTTGCGCAGCATGCTGCACACACCTCTACTCTCAGGTTTTGGGGGTGAATTTATATAATAGTTTTTTGATTGGGCTCCTTTT